CTGGGTGATGATTTCAGGGATATGATGTTACTTCCATCCTTTTTACATTTGTGTGATCACTGTGTCTGGCATAATATTAAAGAGCATTGCAAATAACACTTAGTTGGAGCGATTACTCTTGCACAAGACTGTCTGGCAGATTGCAGGCCTTTACCAGATGTTCTCATTTACAAGTCCTGTTGCTCATCTTATTAAATTTGGTTTAAATAGAACCAAACCAGCTTAAAAATAAACAACCACTGCACAATAGGTGAACGCAAACAAAGGTTTTCTTAAGTTACAAAATGTACCTATGGAAAACTGGAGTAGAAAATCAACTGAATAACTGTCATATCAGTGCTGCTACTGGCAGAAATGACAATTTTTATAATATTTGATTGTTTTGTTGTTGCAATACATCAGATTTAATCTAAAAAAATATATATTGTTGTCTTCTGAGAACATCTAGCAACAGAAAAGAGCCATCTATCCTGGGACAATTCAGGAAGCAATGGTTATTTTTCACTTCAGAGTCTCTCAAAGGGGATCCACAGCTTGGAACAGGGACAAAATTGGACATGATACTCCAGGTGAAATTGTATAAAAACTAATAAAAAATGAAACTAAATACATAGTATGTCTTACATACAATGCTTTTGGTCAGGTACCTGTAGGAATATTTCCCATCTCTGTGTGAAAATATTAACTCTTGCTTTATATATATATATATAGTTAATATAACCTAATTTCTGCTGGCAGTCTTATAAGTATTAAAAGTGCATATTCCTTCCATGCTTGACACAGTACTGAAAAAACTAGAATCTCACTCCAGAAACTCAGAATCGAGGTCAAACCTGTAACTGAAGGTGTGCTTGCTAAGTAGCAGAGCTTTTTGATGCTCTCTGTGTGTTCTGCTCTCCTCAGAAAAGTCATAACAAAAGAGCAAAATCTCAAATATATTTACAAAAAATTCCTGTCCATGGTTTCAGCAGGTATGGACTTAAATTCTGGTTTCTGAGTTGAAGTTGTCCTGGTGTGCTGTGAGAAAAAATTGGAAAAACAACTCAGTAACCAATCTTTTCATAAGGCAAATAACTATAAAAGTGCTGTTTGCCAAAGTGATGTTACACTGGAAGGTGTTTCATACCTTCCAAAACCAATTTTTTAGATAACTTGCACAGAAAAGGTGTTGGACTCCTTTCCTGTATTCCTGCATTCCACTGTCTTTGTTGTGTTTTATCTCTGGTGACACCCTCACAGAGGAGCACTCTGGGGAAAGAGCTCAAGAGCAAAATGAAGTGGTTCTGTGTGAGGAGGAAACTCCTGCCAAGGGAAAAGGTCAATAGGAGAGGAAGAGCAAACATACTTGGAAGTCTAGCAAGACTGATTCTTGGCAGTAAAGGAAGGCTGGAGAGGGCTTGCAAGTAAAGAAGTAGCTGCTTATGTTATTAGACTAAGATAGAGGTGTTTGTAGCAGCAGAGTTACTGTGAGTGGGGAAAAAGGATTTGCTGTGATTGTCACCATCATTAGGAGGTGGCTGAGAGGTTGATGCTCAGGCACATAAAGCTCTGACTTTGGCTTCAGTGTAATTGAGACCAAATGGCCAATTTGAAGATGTCTGTGTTGTGTATCTGAGTATCAGAAGTGTTTGTTGGAAGGCACAGAGGCTGGAGGAAAAGCCAGCAGGAGAGTTTTGGGTTTGCCAGGTGGAGCAGACATCAAGTCATCCACCATGGGGTGTCAAGCTGAGGTTTATTCTTGCTAGAAGAACAGGTTAGGTTGTTGTTTTGTTGTTTTGTTTTTTGGGGGGTTTTTTTGTTTGTTTTTTTTCTCAGCTCAGCTTTAGGTGGTCAAGGGACTTTGTCAAAATGCTATCAATGTTTGCATCTTCCATTTCTAGGACTGGAAAACTAGAGCAGACCATGGTACTGAGGGGTATTGTTGAGCATGGAATAAATCAATTTAGAGACTGTGACAGGCTGTGTAAGAGGCCCCAGGTAAAGTCCTGCCTTGTGGGAGACAGTACAGCACATAATACAACACATAGTACAGCCTGAGTGCTGGGTCACCCCTGCAAAGACTTGTAAAAATGGTCAGTTAACTCACATGGCTGTGGATTGTGAACATGTCTCAGACTTTAGCATGGCTGGTTTATGCTCAAGTTTCAGGCTCGAGATTCAGTGACTGTTATTTCTTTTATTTCTCTTATTTCTGTTTGTTTCTGTTATTTCTATTTTTTTTTCCTAGCACACAAGGTGAGAGCAAAGCCAGTGCTAAGTGATTTATTTAGATAATACTAAATATATAATGTTTATAAACAAACAGAGGCTAGTCTGGCAGTGCTGAACTTCACTGCTGAACCTGCCTGCTCACAAAACCCCTTTACTTCTCCAAAAAGCTGCTTCTCAGCTAAATGCAGACTGTTTTCACTGGCTGCTCTTTCAGTCTGTGGTAATTTGTTCTGCAATATATCCTTTTTGTCATGTTTATCATTTTCAGATCTCTATCAGGAAAATTCTTTTTACATCAGCTTTAAATAAAACTTAACTTTTGCTATTACTCCTAGTATCTGCTGAGAAATTTTATTTGATTAAGAGATATTTTGATTAGCTGAGGTGTCCAATTTGAAGGTAGTCAGGGGTTGTGACTGGCTTTCCTTTGCTGTGACCCTTTGATAATCACTGATGGCTCTTTGCTGGTCTGTAGTAAAGCTACTACAGATGGTAAAAACACCATGATATTCCCCCTCTGTGCGCTTGGGTTGGTGAGCACAAACCCCTTCTGTGCTACAGCCTCGTCTATTAAAGGACAGCATTGTTTATGCATCCAAAGAATTTTCAAAACATGAGCTGAGAGACTTTAGCAGTAATATTTTGGCACTGGCTTTGCAGGGTTACACCCAATTTGAGGTTCTCTATCAGTCTCCACATCGCTGAGAGCACTGCAGAGGCACCAGTGAGCAAACCACCAGTGCTTCCTTTCCAACAAGGTCAGAGCAGCTGAGAACAGCAAACTGGCCTGTAAATAGTAAAATATTGGAGACTGCTGAGGTAATTCTGCCGGCAGACGGGGACGAGGAAGGATGAGACAGATGAAGGATGAACACATTTGATGTAATCACAGTTGTTTGCCAGGCTTGTGTTCAAAGTCCAGCTCCTTTAAGTGGAAGAAAGATAGAAGAGGTCTTGTTGCAGATTTTTTCAGCACACCTCCTGCCCATAAGCTCTCGAGCATTTAGGATTTGCCCACAGGTGTTGAACTGCCAGGACCTCTCTGCAGGAACCCTGCAGGTCTGCTGCAAGGGAGCTTTGCCCTCCCCAGCTTATCCTAAGGCTCCTGTGCTCCCTTCAGTGTGTGTTCTGTGTTGCTTTCTCATGGTAGTTTTGTTTCCTCCATTTCAGTCACTCACATGGTGACACCAGAGTGCTCTGCATTTTCCTCTCCAGACATGGAGAAGTTCAGTTGGTTCTGTGGGATTTGGGAATCCATACTTCTTCCAGCTTTCCTTTTCAGACCTACAACATCAGATCCCAGGGGCTGCCCAGCTAAATCCTGTGGAGGCAGTTAGAGAGAGGAACCACTGTAAGACAGTGGTAACTGGGAGTACTCACAGGAGTATTTCCTTCAGGGGGGGGGTTTGCCTCTGTAGCTGGAGACCCCAAACTGCATAAACTCCTTTTTTGAAGCTTTTACACACAACTTTGTGTTTGCCAGTGGCTGTGCTGCAGTTTTGATTAGCAAGAGAGGTGGGCCTTGCTTTAATGATGGGCTGGACTGTACCTGTGCAGTCCAGACCTCTGGGCACCTCTGAGGTGCTCTCTTGAGACCCTTCTTGTGATCTGAGCAGGAGAGCAGGACTGTGCTTTGTGGGACTGGGCCTGCTGCTCAGCGAGCTGTTACAAGGTTGGGAGGGGGGCTTGGCTGGGTCCTTAGCTGGCTGAACAGCCCTGAATTCCAGGTGAGCTCTGCACATCGGATGTACTGTGCTTTTCCACAGACTGTATACAGGTTTATATTTATTTAAATTGGGCTTGGGAGACACCTTCTACTCAAGGTGTCTTCTCTTGACCTGTATGTAAACCAGTCTGTAACTTCAAGTGGGATGAGAAGCTGTTATTAGGGAAGCCACTTCAAGCCACTTAGTGAAGCTATCAAGAACCACAGGAGCTGTGCAATCCTCACTCCTGTGTGCTAGCTCTTCCCATTTTAGGAGAAATCTTTCTAATGCAAGTGCCGTGTTTGCTATACATATTTTTTTAAAAAAAACCCTTTTGCTTCTTACACATTTTGTCCAAGAAATTAGCTGAACTTGGTCTCAAAATTACCGCAGTTTTATAGTCCTTGCATAGGGTGAAAAATCCTCTGATAGTGTCTTCTCCTTGCAGCAATTGCACATCATCACTTCAGAGCACTTCTTAACATTTGCTCTGTAATCTGAACAGCCCCTTGGCTTGGTGGTGTTTCTGATGCCCCCATCATTTGACTGTTCATACATTATCATTGGAATCTGTGTGTTAAAGAACAATTCCTTTTATCCATATTTTTATCTGCAAGTAAGTATTCTTTCCCTTTCTAATACTAAATGTATCGAAGCAGAAGAATCTGGCACCAGTTGTGGGTGGAAGACATGGAATAGCTGAACCCAATGATCTGAGAAGTGATTGGAGCCCAGTTAAGTGTGTCCAGACATGCAAATGTGTTTATAAAAGCCTGCAGCCAGTTAGGGATTACATTTACCATCATTTCCAGGGCATGGCTGGATACACTGCTTGGATGTGGAGTTTATTAGTGCAGCACTGCTGGAGGTGTGATCCCTAACACCCCACTGAGCTCTGGCCATCAGCTGCCACTCTGTGGTGTTTCCTTTCTGTTCCAGCTCACACCCAGAACTACCCTGTGCCTCAAAGTTTGTCCAGGGATACAAAGGGCAAATAAAGCCATGGGTGTCCTGAAGCAACAGCTCCACACGAATGGAGAACTTCTGTGTATGCAAGAGTTGGAACTGTCTCTGATTTCCCAGCAGGAAATACAGCTGCACTTCAGCAAGTCACTGAGGCTCTTCAGCATCAATGAACGTGGGTGAGGAAGGTGTTTGAGGTTTCCAGACTCCAGGGAGGTGCTGAGTGACGGCCGATGGTACCGCTGGGTTTTGTCCCCAGTCAGAATCTCCGCTGAAGCAAAGGCCGAAGGCCAGAAGGCTGGAGGAGCCAGAAACAAAGCACAGCCCTGCCCAGCAGCCCTCGCCCATCCACACATCTGTACATCCCAGGATCCCAGCAGGGATAACTGGAAATGTACCAGGTGGCTTCTTTTCATCCCCCTCGCCCGGCGTGTCCTGTTCCGCCCGTGTGCGCCTGCGGAGCAGGCCCTGGAGTGCAGCCCCACCACCTAATCCGGGGGTTTCAGAGCTTGGGCTGTGCCAAGTTTGTATTGGCAGCAGCCTTGGATTGGAGCTGCCAGAACTAGAAATGCCTCTGAAGTCAAAGGGTAGCAGAGCTCCCCCTCAGACCCCGGGAGCAGAGTCCTGCCTGGAATTGCCACGCCAGTGGGAGCGCTGACGGCAGCGTTACTCACCATCCGGCTCTGCTCCTGCTGTCTGGGTCTTGCTTGGCAAGTGGCCTTTCCTCAGTCAAGCACTGCTGCTCTGGTCTGTCCTGAGCATCCTTCTCACCTGGTAACTTGTTTTCCCTTTAACCCACAGGGCTGTGCATCCAGCATGGACTCATTACTGTGCCCACTCTGTAGCTTTTTAACTCAACTGGTGTGAAGGAAAACCAAACCTCAGTGGATTTCCTCTCTCAAGGGATGGGCAAGCTGGATCCCTACAGGTGTGTTGGGATATTCCTTGCTGGCCTCTGGTTCCTGGAGACCTGCCATGTGCCTCACTTGCCCAGCCAGAGGTACACAAACCTGATGGTGTATTGGGGTCACCTTTTAACAGGTGGTGGGTGTGTATTTTCTATCCTCACTGGCCCTGGTTGGCCCTGGTTTCATCCCTGAATTCCTTTTCCTACCTTATTCTTCTCCTAAAACTTAGATTTGGAAGGAACCACACAGTTTTTTTGCCAAGTGCTGTATTTTAGCATGTCGTTTCCTTCAGGCTTTATTAAGGAAGGAGTGTTTGTGGAAGGAAAAGGGAGTCTGATTGTGCTCTGGCAAAGGCTCGGATGCAGCAGGATTTTTTCCTGGAACACAGGCACGGGCTGAGTGCCCTCAGGCATTGCTGCAGCACCAGGTACCTAAGGCATGCCCACCAGGGTGAGCTCCAGGAGACTGGTGTGCCCAGCTGCTGGAATGCCACCAGCTGTCACACTGAAACCACCAGGAGGTACAAATTAATCTCCACAGGGGATAGAAGCGCTCTTGCCATCTTTCCCAGGGTGTGTTGGGTCTCGATGGTGTTGTTAATTGAATGTTGCCATGTCTGTGCCTGGGTGAGGCCCAGGGACAGAGGAAGGAACCATTGTCCCAGGGCTGTGTTTCAGGGACAGGGGCAGGAGAAAATGCTGCCCCAGGAAACCCAATGAGCAGTGGAACAGGAGGCTCCTACAGAAGGATGGCAGCACTGAAGCATTAACTCTGTGTTCAGCACATCTCTGAACTACTCCACAGCAACTGCTCTCCCTAGGACCTCCTTTTGAACTATTTGGTGTAGTGTTTTTCTTCTAATAAGAACTTCAGATTCTCATATACTCATGTGGTAAGTGTCAGGGAGTTCAAGCCAGTGTTAGACAGTGCTGGCTCTGGGATTAAGTAGGTATTTCCAGAGGGCCTTTTGCTCCTTCTGGGATAGACATCACGTCTGTGATTTAACTACTTAACAAGGTTCCTAGTTCTTTACCTGGGGCCTTTCACCACTCCCTCTAAATGCAAATCACCCCCTCTCCTTCCACAGTGGTTTCCAGGTCTCTGCCCTCACTGTCTGTGTACTGACCACAGACAGCACCAGGGCTCTGTTCCTCAAGCTGAACAATGAACAGACCTTTAACTGTGGTCATTAATGGCCAACATTCTTCCATTCAGTCCTGAATTAAAATATATCACAATGTTTAAGGCCAGAAGTTCCCTTTCAGCATCACAGGGGTAGTCTGGACTGTACCTGCAGGCAGAGTTAGTCAGAATTAACTGTTTGCATGTTCTCCATCCCAATTTTCACCTGCATTTCCTTTTGTATAGAATTTGATACAGGTTTGTTCCTGACAGGAGGGCATTTGCAAATTGTCTTGTGATAAATGATATGGTGACCAAATCAGCCTTCCATGGGATGCAGTGAACCTTTCACAGTGCAAATACTGCTGCAGACTAATGACAAAGTGACTGTACAGCCCTTAGCCACTGAAAATTGCATCCCAAGGTTTGGTCAGCCTTACCTGAAGTGGTAATAAACACAGTAGAATATTTGTTGTATTTATGAAATTTAAAATTTGCATTTATGGGCACATAAACACATACTCAGAATAGAAATTTCCTGTTGTCTGGGAGTGGAGTTAAGGACATCATTTTCAGTGTGGTTCTCATCCTTAAAAGACACCGAGGTAACTACCCATACTTATTACAGCTTACTCTTATTTCTCCTCCCTTCATGTCTTTGTCAGGGGATTTGTTTTCCTTGATCTGCTTTTATTTTTCAAGTCAGGCTTCTAAAAAGCAAACCTGTTTTGCTTGAAGTCTGACACTCATGTAAATTTGTATAAAGAGCAAAATGGTTTTAAGTCATCCTTGTTTTGCAGGACTATCTCACTTGGTGCAATGGAAAGGGAACAAAGAGCAAGGTTAGGGGAAAATTGGTGGATCTTTCACTGGAGATAATATTATTCAATAATATACACAAAATGCTATTGGGAAACAATTTGTCCCTGGGGCTAAAAATATACTTTAATGCTGGTGATAATCTCCTACTATCCCTGAGTGCCAGGAAGAGGGAAAACAGCTGGAGGTGCTCCCTGGTTTGCTGGGCACCATACCTTCTGCACTCTCCCCTGGCACTCAAGGAAAGAGCTTTACAAAGGGGAAGGAATTTTTTTCAAAGATAAAACTCCCAGCAGTCACAAAGGTAATGGGAACCTTTATTTTGATTATTTTCATTGCACTGACATTGTCCTTTTATGCAAACTTAACTGAAAAACACTCTTGAGATACTGCATAGAAAATACACATAGGAAAAAACACATATATACACGTCCATAAAAATAGAATACATCTTGGCAAAATTACCTGTGTACAGTGTATTGACATTATTGAACCAAACTTACACCACCTTGGGAGAAAAATGTTCCATGTGCGTAAAAACCCAGCACCTTGACTGAGTTGGGAGTACTGCAATGGGTTAAATAAATGGCTATACCAGAATGGCAGAGTAAAAACAACTTATAAAATACCTGCTGGATAAAGTACAAGTAGCCATGTTGGTTTTTTCTTCCAAAAAATAGTGACATCTCTACACTTGCATGGAACCCAAAGGTACCAGTTCCAACTCTCCTGTAATTTGTTGGCTGAAAACAGACTTTAGTATCATTTGTTTCAGCGTTTGCAATCCCTGGGCACGGTGGCATTGGGTGGTTTTAAGCACACAACACAGTACAGCACTTGTACTAATTCTATTGGGTGTTGAGAAGGAAAAAACCTAATAGATATAAAATGGTAAAACACTTTGCAACCTTTAAAACCTTTAAAATATGCAGACCACTTGTTTTCTTCTGGTCAGGCTTTTCTTCAGTTGCTTTCAATGGAGGCTGCTCCTTCCTTACTGCTTTGACCACGTGGATTTTCCCTGCTGGTTTTCAGAACGTACTGTGGAAAATAACTACTCCAGTGTAATAAATAAAGCAAGTGGTAACAGGTCCTCAAAGCCACGGATTTTCCTCTTGAACTGGAACAGTGGGCCTGGGGAGGCAGGCTGGGGAAGGAGCAGAGCGTGGCCCCCCTGTGAGATGGCAGGGTGTGTCAGTAGGGGTAGGCGGACACGGCGATGTACACGATGAAGGTGGTCTGGTACTCGAGGCTGCCGTCGGCGCCGTAGGACAGGGCCCTCACGCCCATGCGGTACGT